ACCCCGAAAGCTGGGGGTATGCTCAGGAGCTCCTTGTGGGTGCAGGCAATTGCATCCCATGCCTGGTGTTCTGATCCAGCCTTGTTGAGGAACCTCACATTAAGCCCCAGTCCCACGTTTTGTTTTGGTTCTCATTATGAACAGCGTTTATTATTTTGGATATGCAGATGAACGGCTTGGAGTGGTTAGGAAATAGTTGCGCTGATATGGGTAGAGGAGCAGAAGGATTAAATGAAGGGGTTGTTTTGCAGCATTTTTTAGGATAAGCGAGCTTGATGGATTGTTTCTGGTCTTGGCCAACTCCACTGACTTACAGGAAAGACTAAAGAAGTGATGTGGGGGATGGTGATCTTTCCCCTAACTGTAAGTGTTTGCAGTATAAACAGCTGAGCTATTCAGCAGCAGCTCTCGGTGGAGGGAAACAAAAAAAAAAAAAAGGCATTTTTAGGGTGGGTTCTAGTGTAGACAAATGGGGTGAATTATGCCCTGCAAGTGCTTATCAGCTCGGCTTTGTGGACACTGCCTGTGGTCAGCTGGGCTGATGACTGAGTTACCAGGAGGCTGAGGAGAATGTCCACAGAAGGTACTTCGGAGTTATAACGTTAGAGTTAATAAAAATAATAGTTCTGTTCAATGTGGAGACACATTACCACCCAGCAGCTTCCCACCGCTAGCTTTGAGTCTTGGCAGGAGATTTTTGGCAGTGTCTTAAACACACCGGACCTTACTTTGTTTATTTTGTAGGGCTGGAGTTCCTTGCTCGCGTTGGGACCGTGGGAGGGGACTCGTGCCCTCCTTCGTGCGCACGTATTACTGGAGTAGAGTTTTTCAGCAGAAAGGAGACTTTCTCCGTAGTATTACCAGAGTTAGTGCCAGATTTCTACTCCTGATCTTTGTTAAATTTTGGTCTGGGAAAATGGTGTTTGGTCATGCATTTCTCTGGTCATGTTTTCTGATGTCCCCAAGAAAAATAAAGTCACGTAAGAAAGGCAGGAAAGCAGCAAGCTGAAATGCAGCGATTTGTCCTCCTCCTTCTGGTTATGCAGGAGCGGGAGAGATGCCAGATCTTTATCTTGTTTTGCAGCAGGCATGCGATCGCATACAATACTTTCCTGCTTTAGCTCCGTGTAGCTTCGGGAGATTAATTCAAATGCAGAAGTCTGTTTAGATTTTTGGTAATTCGTTGAAAACGCAGGGCTGGGCAGAGGGAGCTAAATGGGCAGGGAGAGGCTCTGCCCAAGCTGATAGCACTCAGCTGGTAGCCAGAAGAAAGCTTTTAAAATTGCTTATGCTGTGTTATAGTGCAGGCCATAATAACGTATTTAGGGCAAAAGGGATTCTTAAAGCTCTGAAGATAAACAGCACACAGCTGTGGCAGGTGGGACTGTCTTGGGCAATGCTTTCCTCAAAGCAAGCTTTGCTGTGTGCAGCCGGGTACCCCGGCGGCACCCGTACGGTTTTCAGTTAGAAATTGTTGTTGCTGTCCCCATCTTCCGTCTCGATTGGAGTTACAACCCACGTGGCAGGGGGGGTGGTTGTGTGAACACCTGCCTTGCAGAGCCGGTGTGGGCATCCGAACTGCAAACGGGCAGAGCCCAAGGCAGAGCTGCGCAGAGAGCCTGCAGTAGCTGAAGAGGAGCGATGCTGAGTCTCGGTGCTGGCCAGCATTCTGTAAGGTTAGAGCTTGCTATTTTTTTGGAGAGGAAAAGGGGCAAGTCCTAAAGATGGCCTTCTAAGTGCTGGAGCACATACGTAGGTATAGACTTAATGTGATTTAACGTTTATGGATCCGTATGCCTGGGATTTTCCATCTAAGCTAAGTGCAGTAAATGTACAGGATCGGTCATCTGGTTTGGGCTCCTGCATGAGGCCATCAGCTGCGTCGCTCCCCTGAGCCTCATCGGGACCTCTGCTATTAGAAGTGCTGCTAATAAGGCAAGGATCCCACCTCCCTAGGAGATGAAGAGTAAGTGCTCTGCAAGACCCAGCCAAGAACAACAGGCCAGTAAGATCAGTTTAATGTAAATGGTAAAAGCCTGGCTCTTTTATCCCAAGAAAGAAAAGGATGCGAAGCCGTGGGGGTAGTATTGTGTCATTATGTACTAAATAAACTGCTCACCCTCGCCGCTGCATCAGTGATGAAGGAAAACGGGGGGTTGGTTGTGGGGTTGGGTGTTTTTGCCAGATTGGGCAGAGACCAGCTGATCTGGAAGTGTTCCACATAAACAGCTTGGGCAAGAATGTTGGCTGAGAGAGGCTGGGACCTGGGCGAGCTGTAAAATCAGAGTTATTTCTGTTGCATCATGCCTTGGTTATCTCTTACAATTAGCACAAAGGCACATCCTGAAGAAGTAAGCTAGTTTTAATTTTGTTAATGGGCACAGGTGCTATTTTTACCTTCTTTTATTCTACCTTTGATAAGATCAATATCTGGCCTTTGTTTGGGGATAACAGGAGTGGGGTTTGTAGAATGTATCGGCATAATTACAAATGTCGTTGGTTTTGCTCCCGTAAACAACAAAAAGTTACTGTACTGTTTGGGTTTTGGTTGTTTGTTGTTTTTTTTTTTTTTTTTTTTCCTGTTAGAATTAAGGAAAGAGTTTATTTTTAACTTTTCCAAACATGTAGTCCTGAAGACACTGCTTATTTAACATCTTCAGTTATTATAGTGTTCGGTTATTCATGCTTTCTTACGACTTATATATAAAATAGCAAGCGGCTGGCTTTCTGCTTTACAGGATTGCCAGAAGTTAAAGCATGGGTGTCAAATTTTGTGCATTCCTTTTAGTACAAAGTTTAGGATATTTCAAATAGGTCAGAAGTGTTCTTCGTGTTCTGGGTATTTGGAGAAACAGTTGAACGTGTCTGCAGCTGTTGCAACCTGCAGCTGAACCGTCAGCTTGGTAGAGGCATCTAAGTACTCGTTTAAGGCACCAAAATGTTTTTTAAAAAAATCCCCTCCTGTTAAGCTTAATGGAATAAGAAAAATGAATTCATTTTCATTTCTTACTATCTGAATTTCTAAACCGGCAATAAAATGCGGCTTTGTTCTAGAGAGGAATTGCTGGAAGTTGGGTGAGTTTCACTGCTTTTTTTGTCAAAACTGTAGTAACTTTTATCATACAAAGCTTGCCATTTCCTGTATCTTTTGTTCCAGTCTTAATCTAGTTTTAGCTTTCTGAGTATCCTATTTCCAGGTGGGAATGGGCTGCTTTTAATGATCGTGGAATGCTGAATGGGTAAAATAATCTTCAGTCCAAAGTACAAGGTCAACAGAGCTGGGAATGAATATTTTCCAATTTACTCCTTCGGATCAGTTGAAAATACACTTAATATTAAGCAGTGCCTGCAGTGCATGCTGTTACAGTGGTTGCTGGCATTGGTCGAATTACCTTCTAGGCTGTTGATAGTTACCATTTCAGGCTTTTTAATTCTTAATGTGAAATATTAATTTATCTTTTTATAGCTATAAATTACGGACTTGCTAAATGAGGCAAGTTGAATGTTTTCTTAAAGGTGATTTTGGTATTTCATTCAGCTTTGTGTTTTGATATAACATACATACCCAGCTAGTAAGGAAGGAAAAAAAAAGTATCCCTGTATTGGACTCCTCAACATTTTAAATTAATGTCAGATGTGTATTGGTTTTGCCTGTTCCTTCCTCTGCAGTCAGTTGAGTTTGGCTTTTTTTTTTTTTTTTTTTTGTTGTAGTTGGATTCAGATAGACATTTAGGTGTTTTAAACTTAATATGAATACATTACGGTTGTCTTTCAGAAATGGCAGCATGTATGCTACTGGCCTTTTTAAGCACACTGCAGGGAAGAGTTTGAAAGCCAAGGAGGGAGGGCTCACGCTTCACCAGGGCAGTGCTACGTATTTTAGCAAATTATTAATGAGAATTTGCAATAGGCTTTTTTGTATGTTGACTTTTTTTTTTTTTTACTTACTTCTTTACTTAGGAGTATAACAATAGCTGCCGTGTTAGGAAGAGGCGAACTACAGCTTAAAATTCTCATCAGAGATACCTGGCAGTGCTGCTGTTCTGCAGGTGACACTTCTATGGAATTAGAAAACGGCTGTGGTTGATGTTGTAATTACTTTAGATTTAATATAGTTACTGAGTATGTGTAGATCTTACTGAAAACTTAAATTCATCAAAATTGTTTCTGGCTTAACTGGTGAGGGCAGATGCAACAGCTTGGAGAAAAAAGCAGCAAATAAGATTGCAAACATTTTTCTGTCTGTAATGTGCGCTCGTATTGCATGTTCATAAATACTGCAAGTATTCAAAAAACCCCCAAATTTACAAACAGTAATCTAAGGTTGGGTAAAACCTACTCCATGGAAGCTAAAGCTGGAGGAGAAATTACTTTGGCAACAATTCCTCTAAGTTGGATTCTGTCTGAGCAGATAGCTCAGGTGTCTTAGGGACTGCTCCTTAAGAAATCCCTGCAACTAGACATGCAACAATTAAGTTCATAATCAAAATCTGATGTTTTAATTTTGCTTCCGGGAGGACTGGATTCAAATAACCTGCTGAAGTGATACTAGTTCTGTGCTGGCTATAACTTGATTTCAAGAGTGGTTTTAGGCTTTGGATCATATTAATAATGGAAGCACAGGTCACGCAGTGATGTAGAGCAAGCTCCTTCTTCCAAATGAGAGGGGTTCCTCTTGTTCTCTTTGTATCTGGGTTTCATAATATAGAAATTTGTGGGGGGAATGGGGAAAAATAGTAATTGTCCAAATAAATACAGCTCTTATTAAAGTCGATGCCTTTTTGAAGTTACGCAGCTTCTATTTTTTTCCAAAGAAAGCAGGTAGGTCTTTCATAGTCGCGCGTGTTCCTTATTCCATTAAGACAGTCTTCCAGAAGTGGCGTCATCAAAATGGCTTTGGTTCTATAAAACATCTTACCAGAAACAGCATTGTTTTCAATGTGTACTTCCTTGCAGAGTGGATGTTTTATGAGAACTGCACTCAATATCCACAAAATAGCAATGGATTGGGAGAAATGAGAGGTAATTGAAAACAGGCATCAAAGGATCTACAAGAACCAAAAAAAAAAAAGGCATCCTAGTTTGATTCTTACTCTTAAGGATGTATCTTTTGGGGACCAAACTCTGGATGAGCAATTTCCCCAGCAGAAATGAGCATTGTAGCCTGTCCCGAAATATCCACAGGGAGTGAACGAAAAATTCCTAATGGCAAAATGGAGAAACAAAACTACTTGCGAGGGAGCGTCCTTTAATGGCATTTTTGCGAGATGAATCCATTGGAGAAGAGCTGTTCTTAGGAAGGAGATGTGAAAGCTTGCAAAAATAGACTAATACTTTAGATTTGATGTCTTACCGAAGTATTTGCTGCGAAGACTTTGGTTGGGAATGTCGCAGTCTCTATGAGAACATCTTACAGCTATATTTAGGAAAAGTAAATGAAGCTTGTTCTCCTCAGATGAGCAAGGTTTTGGTAAGGCTTTGGTTGGAGCTGGTGTAGTATTTTGGAGGGGAAAGTGAGTAGAAGAATTTCTATGTTTGGCTTTGGTCAATCACTTGCCTGAGACTTTTCAAGTCAAAAAAAAGAGCACCAAAACCTGTGTTTGAGTCAACTGGGTTGCAGCAGGAGGCAGAAAGAAACTCAGCTTAATTTTCGGAGCCAAACCTCGGGTTGTGAATTTGGTCAGTGAGGGGGGAAAAAGCCCTCAAACATCTATTTATTAAACTGAACCAACTTGATAAGGAAATGAGCCAATCATAGGTATGGTGCCCGGCAATATTCTTTAGGTTTGGATCACGCTTTGACTTGAAAAATCAATAGATTGGATAAAATACGTGCGGCGGGTGGCTGGCTTGGTGCGTTACACGCTGCACGGTGCCTGTGGAGCACAGAAAAAGCGGCTTTTACAGCTCTTCAGTAACTTCACCCTGATTTCGTGGCGTAACTTCTTAAGGAAAGCGTGGCCTGGGGTTGCTGGTGCCACGTGTGTGTCAGTGCCACGTGCGAGCATCCCTCCACCTGTCCCTTCGTGCCATGTCTAATAAGAAAACGCACTTTGCAAGAAGTGCTTTCACAGGCTGGGGTGGGCTTTTTTTATTATGATACCAGCTTTGAATTAAATTCACGTTTGGGGAAAACTGTTGGCTGCTTCGTTTGTGCGGTGGCTTCGGATGCCCGCCTGTTGCTCGCCTGTATCTGCTTTTCCCCGTGTTTTAGCTGCTCGGCATTTGGCGAGCTGTTCTTTTCTGCCTTTCCCACCGTGCTACAACGAAGCGCAATCCAAGGCAGAGCGGATCAGATACTGTACATATTTTTGCTCTGTAAACACATGCTTATTTACATTTGCTTCATTGCCATTTTGACTCTAATCCTCTTCCCATCAGCCGTGACTAACGAACTCTGAGATACTGCCACTTTGACCCCGTGTGCTGCTCGTGTTTCCATTTGTTTGTTTCTGCTTCGCCTTCCTTCCCAAGTATTTAACAAATTATTATTAAATATCTTCCAGGATTTCAGAGGCCAACCTGGGAGCAATTCAAAAGAGTCGAGACACACGAACATATGTTCTGGTTGCTAATTCTGTTTGTTACTTGACGGTTGAAGGCAAACTTCGGTGCCGAGTCCTTGTTCTTCAGTGCTGCACAGAAAATGGAAATAAAACGAATCCCCCTTTTTGCGAAGAGATCCTTTTTGCTGTACAAAATTCAGCTCTGATCGACTCTTGCAGCTTGATTGTAAGCTGCTACTAATATCTGGCAAAACCTTCTCAAAATAAACCCGCTGACATATGTGCAGTTACTGCTCGCTTACAGCACCCCGCAGAAGCTCAGCGCCGCAGATTTTGCGTCTTTTTAAACTTCCAGGGCTTTGCTGATCCAGCTTCGCAAAACCCTGACGTTAACACCAACATTGCAAACGCGTCGAATTCTTTCTATCAGCAGAAAAGGCCGGTTTGGATTCATAGGCCACATCTGCTGGTGAACTTTGGGCGGTCTGCTTTTTTTTTTTTTTTTTTTTCCCCCTGCCTCCCCCCCCTCCTTTACTAGAAGAAAGGTTTGTTTGTTGGCCGCCCGCTCGGGGCGGGACAGGAATGTAATGCATGCACAGACTGCGCAGTATTTCCTGTTCAACTGCCGCCCTCCAAACCTCGGCGCTGGGAAAATCTCCAGATCGAGCAGCTCAGTCCTTGCTCAAAGAACGAAGCCATGCTGCAGCTTCTGAAATGCTTAGATTTATACATATATATATATATATTTTTTTTTTTTAACAGAAAATACATATTTTTAAAATGAAATCTTCAGTTTGCAGCTGCTTTCAATGTATTTTTTTTTAACAGAAAATACATATTTTTAAAGTGAAATCTTCAGTTTGCAGCTGCTTTCAATGTATCAGATTCTATGGATACTGCGTCTTCGCTGTAGACTAAAACATTAAACTTCGTGAAGCACTGTAGGTACAGAGAGGTGGCTCCATAATGTCACTGCAAAAAGTTATGTTTATTTTGTAGCGGAGGATGTCTCCATAATGTTGCCTGCACAGTTCAGTTAGCTTCGCTTTCCATCCAGTTAAAAAAAAAGGTAGTAGTCTTCTGGCACTGGAGCTATTTTTGCATTATTTGCTGTGGGTTTTTTTGCCCTTAAACTGTTCTAAAGCATCGCTTTTGCATTGTACTTCAGAAGTGAAATGGTTTAGCAAAAGGAAAAAAAAAAACCAACCCTCGTGAGTATAATCACTTCTTCCAAAGAACACTAAAATTTTGGTTTAGCAAAAGGAAAAAAAAAAAAACCAACCCTTGTGAGTATAATCACTTCTTCCAAAGAACACTAAACCCCAGTGCTGCAACCTTGCCTGGTGTGTAGTGTGAAAGTGAGGTGAGGGGGTTTACTTATTTTAATTTTTTTTCTTCCTCCCCCACTCCCCCAAGTTCTGGTCCTTTCTACACATGGCAGCTCTGCTGCTGTTTCAGACTGCCAGCTGATGGAAGGGTGACTTTGTGGGGTGTGGCTAGTTATTTTATTTACTAATTTTATTTTTTTAAGCAGATGTATGTTGTGAGAATTTATATGCATAGGCTCCTCCAGAACATATGAAGTGCTGTAGCTCTCCTCAAAAAAAGCGAGTACTAGGGAAAGGTTCCACTGTGAACTACATGTATATGCATATATGTGTGCATATATGCGCACACACATTAAAAAAATGTTCTATATCCTTATAGCACCTTTTTTAGTGTGTTGAGCAGCTACTTAGTCCTATGAAAAGGACACAGGCATGCACAGGCGAGCCCTGAGGATCGGGGCAGCCCCCGGTCCCTGCAGGATGCTACGCGCTGACCGGGTGGGTGGATGCCAGCTCAGGACCGGTACCGAGCCCAGCGTGGGGTCTCCTCTAGCTCAGAGGAGAATCCCGAGAAGGCTGGATGGGCACATTCAGCTCCTGCTTAAAGGCTGTCCAGGTGTTTCACGTAGAAGGCAAAGGTACAGCAGCTGCCTGGCTCATCTTGCTGGCGGAGTTACCGGAGTGCTGCTGGAGGTGGACGTCTCTGAACTTCTCTTTCATGTTCTCATCCATCGTCTGTCCCTGGCTGTTCCAGTGGCAACAGATACAAGCACAAAAATGAAAGTGCTAAGTGTTAATTAGTTCCTTCCTGGGTCACAAAGAGATCAGCTTTTCATTCTTTTGAAGATACAGATCTGCATGTGCTGCTGCTTAAAATTGGAAGTGGTCTCAGTGTAGCCCTCTTAGCTTGTCCAGCACTGGAGCGGGAAAGGAGGCAGCCAAAATCTGCGCTGTTTAATTTGAACTTGAAGGCATTTCACTCAGAACATAGTTCAGGAGGTTAATTAGGTTGTTAAAACAGTTTTTAACTTTCCAGCTTCGTTATGAAATGTGGATGCCCCTGAAGCAGCGGATCTGCTTTCAGTCTTCGAGCTGAATAAATGCAAGGAGTTGGGCTCTGGCACATGTGTTTCTTTTACCGTAGTATTCCCTAGTAGCAACCCTCCTAATTTTTTGAATACTGCAAGACAGCACAGGTGTTTAACTCGTGGCTTATATGGAGAAGCTGACACACATGATGAGACGGTTATACCATCATATACATATATGTCCATCCAAACCTCAGTGTAGGGACTGAAGTGTACCAACTGCTTTACGGTTTTGGAACTCGCCTTGGGATCCATTGGGTTTTTGTGGTGGTTTGAGCCTTTTCGTGGTTTCTCATCCATCCTTGTCATTTAAGTGGCTTCTGTGTACTGTTGCTGTTTTTAACATTTACTCGCAGCATCTCAGGATGCGTCGCAGCCTTGTACAGAGGGAGTGGTGCTGAGTTCTCAGTCCTGTATTTAAGAAGTTATTTCAGAATTTCACTACTTTTGATCCTTAGAAAATGAGCATCCAAGAACCAACAGCAGGTGTTTAACCAACCTAGATTTGAGGATTGTAATGAATAATTTATGGAGGGCAAAAGGAGTTTTTTGCTTTAAGCTGCCGCAACAAAGATGTTTCCAAAGTTTTCTTTGGTTAGGTAAAGGACTTCTTTCTTCATACAGCTTTAGCTGTCTTGAATTAACATTCGTCCCGATAATTTTTCTCTTTTTGGCCTAGGTGCTATGTGAAAGTGTATTTTTATATGATCTTTGCAGGTATGGAAAGCAAACTGGAAGTGTTCGATACCCACTAGGTAACTTCTCTTTGAATGAGATCAGCTGTTCTCGCATAACCATTTGATCTTAGCGTACAGGTGCAACTTCTGAGCATCTTCCAAATTATCATGGAATGGGTTAATAAGAGTAATGTTCAGTTTTTCTTAAGATTCCTGAAAGTTCATAAATCATACTGACGTTTTTTTTCAGATCCAAGCACAGTGACCTACTTCAAGTAGATTAAAGTGAGATAAAGAAGAGATTATCTCAAACGTTAAAATAAGCTACTTGGTTATTTTTCCTCCTTGTCCCCACCTGTCTTACGTGTTTAAGCTTTTATTTCTTGGCCTCTAGCCACGCAATCAGCTCCCTCCAGAGCAGTG